GGACGGCATCACTATATCTTAATAGTGTGATTCATGAATACCTATAAAGCAGTCACTTTTCCCAGGTAAGAAGATTAACCTCGATGTGCCTAATATTGTACACATCTCCATACCATTTTGGACCTCCGCCATGATACCTAAAACCAAAAAAGACAATGAGAACATCGAGAAAGCTAAGACCCACCAGAATTGTTTTTGGGGAGACGAATACGAATGAATGATATCGGGGATGCTGTAACACCTCTCTTCTAGTATAGTTCAAAACCAAACAGTTCTAACTAATATACAGATACAACCCTCTAGGTCCCGAACTCATAGAGGGCAGGTCTCGAGCAAGACGTTTAATAGCGATATTCAACGCACCGCTTTCATTGGAGGTCTCCCCATCGTAAGTAGTCTCTCGAGAAAACGTACTTCGAGAACTCCTTGGTCGTGTTGGGCATGGAGTATACATTAAACCTCCGTTATTCGTGGATTACGGTTGCAATATCAGTATAGGTAGCGGATTCTACGCCAACTTTCAGTGAGTCGAACTTCTAAAGAAAAAGAATCAAATCTAACCAAAGTCCCTTACAGTCTCACTGTCCTGGACTGTGGCTTAGTTTCCATTGGGAACAACGCCATGATTGGGCCTAATGTCAATATCATTATGGGAGAACACGAGACGGGGATCGAAGCGCGAAACGCCCATAAAGGACTGAAGTTTACGGGACCCATTGTCATTGGCGATGATTGCTGGATTGGAGCTAATGTGACGATCTTGGCTGGAGTCACCATCGGCCATGGATGTTCCATCGGTGCTGGCTCCGTGGTGAAACGGGATATACAAGCCCCGAGTGTTGCAGTGGGTAGTCCCGCTCGAGTCATTAGGTCGGCGTGAAGATGAATCAAGTGCGCTTCATGCGCTGCATTTGTTTCTTGAGTATCCTCCGGGATATCCACATACAATTGCCTGAAATCCATGGATGAATAATAGTGTTATTAACCTGGTATACATTTAAAGGAAAAGTCGCTCGCTTCGTTAATCTATCAGGCATTATGATGAAGAAATCCCACGGAACAATAATTAAGGCTTTCAAGCAAAGGCCCCGACGAATGCCATTAGGAGAGCGCCGCAGGCAACAGACACACAAGCCTCAACACGTCGTCTACCTCTGAGGGTCTCATAACTCGACTCACTCAGGAAGTCCTCGGCGAGGAGTTCCACCAGCCCCGCAAAGAGCAAAAGCCCGCTGCTGATGGCATTGGTGATGCCGACCATCAGCAGACCTGTTGCGCTGGCAGGGTCGTAGAGATTGTGTAGAACCAAACCGATAGCTTGGCCAAGGGGAGTTGTCGTTCCGTATGCCAGTGACATAAGCCATGGTTTCATTGAAGTCGGAGCGAACAGATCCGGAATGAGCGACGCAATCCGAGACCCTAGGGCGAAACCTTCAAAGGTCTGATGAAAACTGATTGCAATTAATAGGACGACGAAGGAGGTGCCAGTCGCAACACTGAGCGCCATGCCGATGAAGATGCTGTGAAACAAAATGCCTGCCTCCAAAAGGAGACATTGTAGAAGCTGACGTTGCGGATTCTGAATTGGCGCATCTCTGTCAGTCTGCTGTCGGTGGCTTTCGCTTACACGGGGTCGATGTCGGTGGACAGGCCGTGACTGCGCAGAATGGGCTGTCTGTCCACTGATAAGTCCGTCATCATCCATGTAGTCATCCAGCTCATCAAGGTCATCCTCATCGTCCTCTTTATCCGGGGATGAGGTCGCCAGGTGACGGCCGTCCGATTCATGGGACGAGCCAGCTCTCGTCGCCCGCGACTTGGAGCTATGTCCCATGCTATCTAAATAGATATTGTCTGAAACCTGCGGGGCCTCTAGCCCCGTGTAATCGACTGGATTTCCCCCATCAGGTATTGAGTCACACCCGACCTCGCCAATGAGATTATCATACTCGCTTCCGTGCACATGCTTTGCGCCTTTCATTGCGAAGAACATTTCCACGATAACGACTGCAAAGACCGATATCATTGCAACGAATCCTGCCATAGCGCGATAAGTTTGACTCCAAAACCGGGGGAGACATGGATCGGTCAGAGAGACGAATGCAGTGGGGAGCAGATGGACGAATGCCGTGGCAATCAATACGCCCGTTCCAAAATGTCTTGATATAAAGAGGAACCGACGAGGAATGGGGAGACGAGGGAAACGGCGCGCCAAAACCGGAAAAGAGCAAGCTATTATAGTTTCAGCATTAGTAATGGCCAACTTGAGAGATCCAAGAGAAGCCAGTGCATACCGAATGTACTCAGCCCAAGGATGAGGAACAGTGCCATGACATGCAACGGGGTGTTATAGGCACCCCGCTGCTTGGATCCGCATGCCGGTGTATCATCTGAAGCTCCATCTCGCCGAAGGAGTTCTGCTCGCAAGAGAGCATCGGGGATTTCTGAAATTGCGGAGAGGGCACGCTTCAAGTCTGCTCGGAGAATAGTCAGTAACCGATCACGATCAAATTTGCAAAGATAGCTAACCTGATGGTAAGACATTTGCAGTCTGCCAGTCTTGGGCATTCTGCATTTTGTTATCTCAAATCCGTTGAGCTGTAACCACATCCCCAGTTGGAGGGGAATGTTCCGCTAACGTAGGGATCTAGGTCAAGCAATTGGGGTTTAAGACGAGGTATTGCACTAAGATGGTAGACCAGGAAGATGACCTCCAGGAAACATAGAGATATTATATTTTTAAAAAACAAAAGAGGCTTAGGGTGGCTTTCTTGGATAACGTGAGTCTGGATTCCCTTCCAAGAGCTCCTAGCTTAGTCATCTCCCACGTGGGCGATACAGGTCCTGGGATTTGATGACAAAGGGAAGGTGACATCCATGGATGTGTGTGATGTACGAGAGTACATGACATGGAATAAATACTTAAGACTCATTCATGTCCTCTACCTGCTACCTTAGTCCATCCTTTGGTACCTTTAGGTCGGGAAGAGGCTTCCTCATTGCCTTGAATCCTCCCAGAACGTGTTTTTGAAGTTCTGTTTATTTCCACCGATCCGGATTGAGACGGGACAATGACCTTGCGACTTTGCCGGACAGATGACTGAGGAGAATCCATGACCGTATCATCCCATTCTTTTTCTTCTAGCAATTCCCATTCAGCACTGGCCATTTCCCCTAGAAGATTGGACTTCAATTTATCCACAATCTTGGTTGGGGTTGGGAGTTTCCATATTCGCATGAATTCAACTCCTTCCGATGCTCCCAGGAATGAATGTGCCGTGCCATGAGAATAGTGACCCAACATGGGAAAGGAAGTTGTTCGCTGAATCGTGGTTTTGGGAGAGTCCTTGGCAGATTTCATTTGTGTCTGCGTGTCTCTCCCGGCAAAAGCTCGCATCAGAGTGGAAGGATGGGCTGGCGGAGCAACTAGAAGTTGCCACAAGCTCTTTCCAATATCACAGACTTCCTCCCAAGAGTCCGATGAGAGGTTTATCCCTTGCGTTCGACATAACCATGCAACGTTCCATGCCAGGAGGGTGGCTCCTTCAAGAAAGAAGGCATATGTTGCGGGATCCTCCTTCGCTAACCGGGGTAGAGGTTTATCGATAAAGAGAGGCCGCGGGCGTGGTGTGTGGATGCGCGGGTCCACCGTCCTTGATGCAGCTGGACTCGAAGACTGGTAATCAGCTCCATCGTGACCGTCGCGCGACCGGTATGATGCTGAGGGGGTGTAGATCGTAGGCGTAGGATAGTTTTTGTGAGGGAGTGTAATTTCGGCGGGAAGTCTCAAGGAGAGATAGTGTGAGACAATGATCAGAAGATGAGCGATGTTAGAAAAAGACGTGGATATCTGTTCATGTGGAATACCTGTACCCGCCCTGTTAGTATGCCACGGGATGAACAACTGCTTGAAAGCCACATCGGGATGGTGTGGACTTGCCATTCATATCCCTCAGGTCGACGATAAAACCACACCCAAGTACGTATGTCTCCCGACCTTGGCCCTTCTTCGTAGCCTTCCGCAGGCCATATAGATTGGCGACTTCTCGACAAAGATAAATACGTGACTCTGCCGTTTTGCTATGAAGGGAATGCCAAACGTGTTCCACCCGTTTGCTGGTATTTTGAACGCCCGCCAAGATTGCAGTTTCCCGCTCTTCTAGTTGAAATTTGGCAGATTCAGCATCTGACCGTCTGCGTGCTAGGGCTTCTTTTTGCTTTGCAATCTCGGCTTTTTTGGCTTCTACCTCTATTTTCAAAGCCTCAAGCTGATGCGCAACCAATTCTCTCTTTGCCAAAGACACTGCATGCCGAGTGCTTATCGTTTGGAGGACCCAGCGTGGAGAGCAAGCTGTGTCTGTATCGAGCAGGTCTTGTGCGTGTGGGGAAGGCTTATCCCAAGGGCTACCACATGTAACAGCGCTTTCGATTTGCTTTCCAAGGACTTCTTTCTCCAGAAGAACTTGGGTACTGTCGATTCGTAGTTGATATAGCTGATTGCGGGCACATGTCGGACAGTGGAAAGAAAGGCGGGAATGAGGGGCACGTGAGCATATAGAACAGCTCATCGCAGACAATTCGATTTTATTTTCAGCGGTTTTTTGAGAGCGTAAGGGGCATTTCCATGTTGCGTTCCAGGATAATTATGGGTGCTACTTGAGTCGCCGAGAACCATATAGCGGAGTGAGAAGGGATCATCAAAGAGATGCGAATCCCACATGACTCAAATAAAATGCTGATATAAAGGATATGAGCGGCCTCAAGACATCTTTAGCCAATCCTTAGTGAAAGGAAGAGGAGAAAAGACGGGATGATGTGCACATGCACTTGTCGACGTCACCTGATCCGTTATCGCAATCATATCTCCCATTTTCGATAAGGAACCTTTTGAAACATCCACGAATCAAAACAAAAAGCGACTCCAAATTCCACTGAAACAATCGTTCGTTTTGATATGGCTTTGTTCTGACATATCTTCATACCAAGCCAATCAATTCAGTATGCAGTCAACACCTAACAGGCCCAGCAAGATTCCTCGACCGGGGACAATGTCACCCCGAGCCAGTCAAGGAAGCAAAAGCTCGGGCAGTGGGAGCTTCCAAGAGAACAAAAGCCCTCGGTCACCGCAATCACCGGTCCAAGCTCCTACACCTGCCCCTATCCATGATGAGATCCCACTTGTCTCTGGGTTGACAAAAGGACTCGAGGACTGCAACTGGGAACAACTCCAGGGGAAATATGCCGATGCAATGGAGGAACATGGCCGAGTAGAAGAGAATCTTCGTGTTGAAACGGCCAAGCTCCTTGAGGTAAGTTCTAGAAACACGCTCTACTTACATTTCGTGTCTGAGCAACTGGTAGGTTTTCATGGCATGGTCTCAAACTACCGTTTCGCAAGACGAGAACAGGGCTTTGAAGAGGTTCGATCAATCCAGCGTTGGCTTAAGATAACGGACACATAATTAATTATCCACAGGTTCAAGACCCAAATGCAGCACGTCCAAAATTCCGAAGTCAATGTGGAAAACAAAAAGAAGCATTGTGAGTCCCCCCTTGTCCTTTTAGAATCACAAAGACTGATCGCTCATCTATCTAAAGATGTGGAAGTAGTAAAGGCTTTCCAAAATGCTCTCGCCCTGTTAAACGGTCAAATGAAGATTTAAGCACATGAGCGACACGATGTTTATGAATTATGAGGTTATGTTACCCTATCCCTCCTGAGGACCAATCTTCCAAGACAGGGAATTGAATCAATATGCAAAAGCCATCGATTATGTATTTCCTCACTTATATGATGGCTTAAAAAAAGAAGGGAAAAAACTAACTAATTAATTAAATGTACTACAAGTAGAGAGAAAGGCAGTTGAAATCCTTCATGACATTCAAAGGAGACAGCTGAAAATATCACCATCATTGCAGGTAAAGGATTACAAGTTGATTTCTCTGGTAGTCACCATCATTTCTAAGGCCTCGGTGATTATCCTCGAGATCGTTCACTCCGGGCAGCTCTCCCTGTTATGTCTTGCCAGCTGGCGTTGAAGCGTCTGCCGGTATTGGCCAATAACCCTTCCTCCTCGGCTTCCTCCGCGTCTTCATCGAGTTGGGCTTCGTCCAACTGAGGTGAACGGAGAATGGAAGTAACAAAGACAATTAGATATAAGCCTGCGGTGTTGGTGTTAGATCAATGCGAAGATAGAATTCCGGTGGGAACGGAACGAGAAAAGGTTTAGACTTGCCTAGGAAGAAGAACTGAGCCCAAAAGAACACCACTCCAAAGAATGGGTAGTTCAGGGTGACTCGGTTCAAGAATGTGCTCACGACACTGGGCGTGCAAACTTGCTGCGCAGCAGGATTCTTTGCCAACTCCGAGCATGGCTTGATAAGTTCTTTGCTGTTTGAGCAATCTGGCTTTCCGGTGAAAGCTCCCGGGGCACGATCACAGAATGTCTGTGGGCCGAATGTGGCATACTGGGGGGCGACTACCATCGAAATGGAATAATTGAGTGCTAAAATGATCAGCATCAACATGGCGGTGGCTAGGAGTAGAGCCTGGGGAGATGTATGGCCATGTCTGATTTGGAAAATCCTAATCCATAGGAAGCGGATTCCGACCACAGCAATTCCAACCACAGAACTGCAGAAAAACAGCAATACAAGCGCGGTAAATATACCGTAGTCAATGGGGAAAAACCTGGCGGATTTAACAAGCGCCCAGTTGACGGGGTTAAAGATGTTGACATGTGCGAGGATATATCCACAACGGTGCTTGCAAATCGAGTTCTTTGCTTTGTCGATTGCCGTTAAGAGCATCGATACCCACGTGAGAAAAGCAATGAATAGCAGCAAGATACCTCCCAGGAGCTTGAAGGGACGAAACGCTGCCCCGAGTTTGTACCATGCCCTTATCAACCAGCTGCGGCCTCCGCCTTGGGATTCTTCGGCTAGACGTTGGCGCCGGATCAGGGTCCTCTCTTCCCGCACCAGTGTATCTAGTTCTCGGCGGTCCTTGGAGGACAGAAGCTCGGGATCCCCGGCACATCGTCCCTCAAGCTGCCGTTGCCGCTCTTGGTTTATGTCAAGTTGTTGGGTAGTGCTCGCTCGCAAGGTAGCACTAGAGATTGATGGTGCAGTCTTCATCAAGCTGATTGGCAGAAGGGCCAGTCCCACGGATGTGTATACGACATAAAGACAGAGCCCAATTGTCATCAACAGACCAAGAGCGAATGTGAGAGCACGCTCGCCATCTTTTCAGAGTCATATCAGCTTCACAGTTCTGCCCAATGCCAGAATACTCGAATACTTACGGTTTTCAGTCAGTAAGCGCTTGAAGTAATCCAGATCCATGTCATTCTTTCCCCGTGACACTGGGACGAAGAAACCAACTAGGAACAAGATCAGGACGACTGCAACGAACGAGAGCGTGTATTTAAGAGCACCCCAAATCCGTTGGCCCAGAGTTTGGTTCCCCTCCTCGGTCGCGACCTCGTCATATTCCTCATACCAGAAATATGTGAACGGAATGACCAGAAGACAGAGTAAAGCATCCAAGGAGTAGAGAAAATAGTAGATGATGGTCAAGGAATAAGTGATTCTGTCCACCACATCCTGCGTTGCCCAGTCCTTTCGCTGGCCTAATTTGGACGACGTAGTCGATGACACTAAAGCGACATCGACAGGCAGCAAGAGCACTGTTGCGAGAAGACTAGTAATAGAGATGATGCAAGCCAGGGTGACTGAAGGGGATCGGTCGCGGGGGGTTTGGTAGACATAGATAAACACTGACGCCACTGCCAGTAGAATAGCTACCACCACCCCATACACAGCCCAGATGAGGGAAGTCTGAAGGAGTGCCATATTGAAGGATAGTAGTTCACACTTTGCACATTGGTTATGAGGTTTGCATCAACACCCTTAGCAAAATCCTGAAGGAATGCCAGGAATGAGACGTACAATAATATCAAATCAAGATTTCCCACCCGAAGCTGGCGATCGCCTGTGTCGTCATTGGTTATTCGACGCTAAACCAATTTGAGGTCTTTACAGCAAATGGCGGTAAGATTTATCAGGCAGAATATGTTGACCGCTTGATTCTGCCAGACCAGTCAGCTGACCCGCTCCCATCTCCGCTTTGTTTCCGCTTCAAAGGAGCTACAAACTTGAACTACACTAAGGTAGAGATCAATCTTGATCTTGCTCTTGATCGCCTCTCGTTTTTGTATTAAAGCTTTTATTTGCGTCATCTCTCTTTTTGCTGACAAGGCTTCACATTCTCGGTTTTCCGCTCCTAGGTTTGCAATTGCAATGCGCATCTCAGGCCATATCAAAAACACAATTTAGCTCATTGGCGGTTTTCTAGCGGTATCAAGCCTTTTACGAGCTTTGACGGCGGACAAAATATTCAAATGCAGTGTTACACAGAGCTATTACCCCCAACGGGGGTCACCCATGCTTTGGCAGTTCCTTTCATCTCAGCAACCGCCAGCAATTTGGTTGTTGTCAGAACCTCTCTATTGCAGGTCTTCTCTCTTGTTAAGATCGTCTCCTCTCAACCACAGAAGGAAGTTCCAGAGCCTCTTTCTTCGCAATCCTCTCAGCCAGAAACGAAATTAGTACTGGAAAAAGAATACCCACTGTCAGGAACCGTGACTGATTTAAGCCGCGTGAAAATCTTGAACACGAAGAGTGGCGGAGAAGCCATATTGATAGCAGTCCGCAATGCCAAGCTTAGCTTGATTGAGTGGGACCCTGAGCGTCGTGGGATATCAACAATTTCCATCCATTACTATGAGCGGGATGATCTGACTCGCAGCCCCTGGGTCCCTGATCTGAGCCGGTGTGGGAGCATTTTGAGCGTTGACCCAAGCAGTAGATGCGCGGTGTACAACTTCGGAATTCGCAACCTTGCGATTTTGCCCTTTCATCAGGCGGGTGATGATTTGGTGATGGATGACTACGATTCGGAACTTGACGGAGAACGCCCAAATCAGAACTCTAGTGGAGGAGCACAGATCGAGAAGAGAAAAGAAGAACCAGAGCACCAAACGCCCTACTCCTCGTCTTTTGTCCTGCCATTGACTGCCTTGGATCCTTCATTGCTACACCCAATAAGTCTTGCGTTCCTATATGAATACAGGGAGCCGACATTTGGAATTTTATATTCCCAAGTCGCAACCTCTACTGCCCTTCTTCATGAAAGAAAGGACGTTGTATTCTACGCCGTGTTTACGCTGGACCTTGAGCAGCGAGCTTCTACCACCCTTCTTTCGGTATCTCGTCTTCCTAGTGATCTGTTCAAGGTCGTGGCACTCCCACTTCCAGTAGGAGGTGCCTTGCTTCTTGGTTCAAATGAAATTGTTCATGTGGACCAAGCCGGTAAAACCAATGCGGTGGGAGTCAACGAATTTTCAAGGCAGGTTTCTTCATTTTCAATGACCGACCAATCGGACTTGGCGTTCCGCCTCGAAGGTTGCGTGGTTGAGCGACTGGGTGGTGATAGCGGCGACCTACTCCTGGCACTTGCATCCGGCGACATGGCATTGATCAAATTCAAACTTGATGGTCGGTCTGTCTCCGGCATCACTGTTCACTTTCTTCCAGCGTATGCAGGTGGAGATATCTTGAAGTCGGCCGCCTCATGCTCCACTTGTCTCGGGGATGGAAACGTTTTCATCGGCAGCGAAGACGCCGACTCGGTGCTCCTGAGAGTGGTCGCATTCATCCGCCTCTACTAGAAAAGCACGGCTTGAGTCAAAACAGACAGCTGATGGTCTTGATGATCTTTCGGATGAGGATGACCAGATGGAGGATGACGACCTTTATTCCTCGGCGCCTGGGCCGATACAAGTCGACAATCGCATGGGAACCGACAGTTCAACCCCCGAATTTTATAACTTTCGGCTAAATGACCAACTTTCTAGCATTGGCCCACTGAGGGACATCACTTTGGGCAAAGCTTTCTCGAATACCAATCGAAAAAGCCAAGCTACAACAGGAACTGTTGCTGCAGAATTGGAGTTGGTGGCATCTCAAGGATCAGACAGAGGCGGTGGCTTGGTAGTCATCAAGCGCGAAATTGATCCTTTGACTACCATGTCTCTGAAAGTCGATGATGCGGATGCTGTTTGGTCAGCTAGCGTTACAAAAAAGGAGAGGGGCTTCCAGCACAGACAACCCGTCTTGTCAATATGTGGTTATCTCTCGGTCTACGGATTCGGAGCAGGAGGTGAACGAGGTCTTCGTCGTGGAAGAACAAAGCTTGAAGCCTTTTAAGGCACCGGAGTTCAACCCAAACGAAGATTGCACGGTTGATATTGGATCTTTGGCGGGCAATACTCGTCTAGTTCAGGTTTTGCGGAATGAAGTCAGAAGCTATGACATAGGTACATTCTACTCCAGCGTGCTAGAAAGCATTGCATACGCTAATGTTGAACCTCTGCAGACCTCGGACTGTCACAAATTTATCCCGTTTGGGATGAAGACACCAGTGATGAACGCGTGGCTGCGAGCGCAAGCTTTATAGATCCTTATCTTGTGATTATTCGGGATGATTCATCAGTATTGCTCCTACAGGCAGATGAAAGTGGTGATCTCGATGAAGTGTCGCTTTCGAGTGAGATTAGCTCGTCACGATGGCGCTCCGGATGCCTTTATCACGATAATTCACAGTCATTCAGCATTGCAAGCTCATCGTCGAAGGACTCTTCAGAAGATGAGGTGCTTCTATTCCTGTTGAATCTGGAGTATACGTTATCGGTAGGTTGTCGCGAAAAGAATACTCAAAGCACTGGTTCTGATTTACAATACAGATCTTCCGACTTTCTGGCATGAAGTTGATCGCGATCATTGAAGGCGTCGACTGCTTACCACCCGTATTGTCGACCGAGCCGCCCAAACGATCTAATACTCGCGAAACCCTGACAGAATTCGTTGTTGCCAATCTTGGTGATAGTTCTGGTCTTTCACCTTATCTGATTGTAAGAAATCTTTGTCAGTCCGTGGCTTTTCTGGTATCTAACTCAACCATTCTAGGTTCGAACCGAAAATGACGATCTCGTGTTCTACAAACCAAGCCTAATCCCGGCAAATGATGGCCATGGGTCGTCTCGCTTGCAATTATTCCGAGAGTCAAATCATGTTCTACCAAAAAGTCCTTCAGGGGAGGCATCATCTCAAATACAGAAGCAACAGCGGTTGAGGCCGCTGAGGATCCTTCCTAATATCTCAGGGTTTAGCACCATATTTATGCCGGGAGCTTCATCAAGCTTTGTCTTTAGGACAGCAAAGAGCTCGCCGCACATCATTCGTCTTAGAGGAGGCTTTACACGTTGGCTAAGTTCATTTGACTCGGCCGATACTGGGTGTGACAATGGCTTCATTTACGTTGATTCTCAGGTGAGACTCTTCATCCACAGTTGTGACGCGATCTACATTTACTAATTCTCTCTTTGTAGAGCTGTGTCCGGGCTTGTCAACTACCTTCCCAAACTCAATTTGACTACCCGTGGACGGTGCGTAAAGTTCCAATTGAAGAGCAAGTCGATTTCTTGGCCTACTCTACGTCTTCTGAGACATATGTTCTCGGCACAAGCCGCGAAGGAGACTTCAAGTTGCCGGAGGGTGATGACCTGCACCCTGAGTGGCGGAATGAAGGTTCGTGATTGCTTTAAGCGTTTCCCATCGTGCTGTGCTAATTTATATCAAGAGCTATCATTCTGCCCGAAAATACCCGAAAGCAGCATCAAGGTCGTCAGTCCCAAGACATGGACCATCATTGACAGGTAGAACTCCAACAAAGCTCGAGGCATGATGAGCCCGAATACTGATATTTATAGTTATCCTCTGGATCCCGATGAACAGGTGACAGCAGTGAAAAACGTGAACATTGAGGTTTCGGAGAATACGCACGAGCGGAGAGATCTAATCGTCGTCGGGACCGCCATTGCTAAAGGGGAAGATATGCCAGCTCGCGGGACGATCTATGTCTTTGATGTGATTAAAGTCGCTCCAGACCCCGAAAAGCCAGAGACAGGCCGCAAACTCAAGCTAATCGGCAAGGAGTCAGTGAAGGGTGCAGTGACGGCACTGTCTGGCATCGGTGGTCAAGGGTTCATAATCGTGGCCCAGGGACAAAAGTGCATGGTCCGAGGTCTCAAGGAAGACGGGAGCCTGCTTCCCGTTGCATTTATGGACATGCAATGCTACGTCAATGTCGCGAAAGAGCTCAAGGGCACTGGTATGGTTATCCTGGGAGACGCCGTGAAAGGACTCTGGTTCGCCGGCTACTCGGAGGAGCCATATAGAATGACACTCTTTGGCAAAGACCCCGAATACCTGGAGGTGGTGGCAGCGGACTTCCTCCCTGACGGGAATAAGCTGTATATGATAGTCGCTGACAGCGACTGCAACCTGCATGTCCTGCAATACGACCCCGAAGACCCCAAGTCCTCCAACGGCGATCGACTGCTCAGTCGAAGTAAATTCTACACTGGCAACTTCGCATCATCGGTAACTCTTCTGCCTCGAACGGCAGTTTCATCGGAGCGCACCGAATCATCCGAAGAAGGAATGGACCTGGATGAGACCTTCGCGAGACACCAGGTACTCATCGCTTCGCAAAACGGGTCTTTGGCGCTTGTGACGTCGGTTGCCGAGGAGTCATACCGTCGGCTATCCGCACTACAGTCTCAGCTGATCAACACCGTCGACCACCCTGCCGGTCTGAACCCGCGTGCTTTCCGGGCCATTGAAAGTGATGGCGCTGCGGGCCGGGGTATGGTTGATGGCAATCTATTGCGTCTATGGCTGAATATGGGCAAGCAGCGGCAGACTGAGATTGCGGGCCGGGTCGGTGCGACGGAATGGGAGATCAAGGCGGATCTGGAGACTATTGGCGGTGATGGACTCGGATATCTCTGATGCCGGAAACAGATGCCTTTTGCATTAGTTTGATGAAATTACAAAAGCGGACTCATTGAGTGAGCTTACTCTTTCAATTTAATTCTATTATACGTCTCCGGAAGATGAAAGACAAGTGGTCAACCCAAGATGGGATTATAATATATTGATGGCATGAGAACATGTATGAAGGTTCTCTCAGGCTCTGCAGCGAAGCCCCATCACGATCAAGTGAATAGCGTGATATCATGACACAATGGGATATAACTAAACCACAACCAAAAGGGCATGAAGGGAGAGAAACAAAAAGACCCCAGTGCCAATCCCAATCCAGTCCAACGTGGGTAATCCAAGTAAATCCAAGTAAATCCAAAATCAATCCAGACCCTAAATCAACCCCCCAAAACAAAAGAGAATAAAATCAAAACACCTCAGCACGCCGCATTCGCTATTTTCGCCTTGCACGATTCGAATTCACAGATAGGAACCAGATTGAAAACCATCCGCCCCGAGCTCCCCCTCCAAAACAAATGACGCAGCAATATCAGTAACACATTCGGCATGTCAGCACGGAATCAATCATGTTTTGGGGCTCTGTGTTTCCCCATAAAACACAAAGTCAAGTCTAAAAGAGCAGGTAAAAAAAGTCAAGAAACACCCCATCCTAGAGTGATAATGCAGATACGAGAAGGAAAAGACAAACAACACCCGGCACCATTGGCCCAATATCCCAGTACTGGGGAGTTTAGAACACATCTTCTGCCGCAAAGTACCGTTTGCTCCGGCCTCTAGAGGCCACGAATTTCATCTCCGGCATATTAGTGTGATGCACCACATGTGGTCGATAGACAGCGTCGACGGGGGCTTGCCAGTCATCCATGCCGAGAGGAAAGTACTCGTAGAGAAGATCAGTGCTTTCGTTCGGGAAGGGGAGCGAGGATGCGAATGACTGGGGCAAGTTGGCAGTCTCTAGCAATGGCATGGATGAAGCAACGCTCCGTGAGGGGGTCTGAGAGACAGCATGAGAGAGCTTGCGCATCTTAGAAGGCGGGGCAGATTGGTCGAGACCCAGCGATTGCTGATGTGGTAACTCGGCAGGAAAGGGGGACACCATCTTTGGTTCCAGGTGGAGGTTAGGGTCACCACCTTCTTCCTCGTCTAGCAACGACAAATTGATCGGTGCAGCGGCCGCTGTTGTAGAACTGACCCGGCGATGTGAGTCCGTCGCCTGGGAGAGTTGCTCCGGGCTGGAATGACGGAACATGGACTTTGGGGCATGAGGCATGACATTGTTTGATGTGGACTGCGGGATGGAGGTCCAATCCGGTGTCGCTTTGGTCTGCTGCATGATGCTCGGCGGGGGAACGGACGTGGTTTCAGGAGAGCTGCTCTGGGCCGCTGGTTTTGTCTTGGCTGGAGTCACGCTAGCACGACGCGGGACGGAGTCGCTTGTTGGCGTGCGGTTCATGGCAGAATTCGAGGAGTTGGCCTGGGCATTCTTTCGCGAAGCAGCAGCACTCCCGCTGAGAGAGGGAGATCTTTGCGCGACTGGAAGTTGCGTGGGCTGCGGCCACGAACGATGACGGGACCTGACTGCACCTCTGAGATGGGGATCTTTGCACCTGTGGATAAAGTCGCGACCACCTTGAGTCGGACGACAAAGTGTTGCTGTAGCTCCTTCCGACGCCCATTGTTGGCGGTCGCGACACGGAATTGCAAGCGTTTCCAAGCGATAGGGAAAGTTGCATAGTCCGAGTCCAGATCCTGGCCTGCCATGATGTCCAAGGGAATTGGGGGAGGTTCCTTCTCGATCTTAGCACCGGTGCTAGGGTTGTTCTCCTCGGGAGCCGGGCCAGAATTAGCTGCCGCCGCCGAGGGGGGTCTTCCACGGCACCGAGATGATCTTCACTGGGTTTCCTTCCACGGATTCTGTGGCTGATACGGTGAGTTCCTGGGCGAGGATGGGGATTCGGTCGCCTTGGTCGGTCATGATATAGCGCATTCCGCGGGGCAATGTTACCGAACCGGTGATTTGGAACAAATTTCGACGATAACACGTCAACTCGGCACCTTGTTGTGGCGGGGCATTTTCCGAAGGGGATGTTGTATAGGGGGACTCGGCGAGAAAGAACATCCCGTGCAACTGCGCCGACACCGATAAGGAGGTTCGGCGCATGGAATAGTCGAGGAGCGTGAAGTGATATACCGGTATCGAAAAGCTTAACAGCTTGTTGTTGTGGTCGATCGACGAATCCTGGGGTTGTTCCTGGGGCGCTGGGTCAAAGGGCGCCACCATCTCGCTGAAAGGGTCATCGTATGCAGAAGAGAAACGCCTCAGTTGATGTGACAGATTAGAAGGCGCAAAGTTGGCGAGATCCTCACTAACTTGGAATTAGCAAACCCATTTCACAGTCGAGCGGAGTGGATAATCCACCCCCTCTCGTCCCGCTTGGAGATCTAATCACCTAACAAAGGTCTCCGAATCGAAGTTGGAACGGTGATCCGGTAGATCCAGGCCAGACATCGCATTGAGATAGTCGGTGCTCTGCAAATTCCCAAGTGACAATGGACTGGCCAAGTATGGTGGCATCGCCATAGTATCGAAGCCCTCCATGGTAAGAGGTTATGCGATACGGGAGGCACACCCGTGGATGATGGGAGGAAGAGTTATAGAATTGCCTAATATATATAAGGACAGTGGAGAGAAAGAGGAGAGAGAGAAGTAAAATAAAGAGAAAGGGTAAGGGTAAGAGAAAGAGGTTGAAGAGAAGCCAATGAGTAGACAAGACCTGGGGAATGCTGCAACGGGAAAGATAGACTAAGGCGGGAGCGAAGGCGGAGAGGACATTTGAGACGGAAATGGAAAGGCCTAAATGTAAAGAGAATTAGAGTGTACCTAAACAATAAAAAGAAGAGCAAATCATCGAGGAGGAGAGAGAGAGAGAGAGAGGAATCTCGACCTTCTGCACTCAAACGATCAACGGATTCGGGGAATAGTGGAGCCGCGGTTTTTGCGGAGAACGAACGCAGCGCTGAGTCATCCTTTTCTTTTTTATAGAAAACAAGTTTTATGTTTTTTTTATGTTTTTGGTTTATATTTTTCATGTCTAATATTTTTGAAAATATTTTTTAACGTTTAATGTTAAATTACATTTTATTGATCTCTTTTTAATTTTTAATTTTTTTTTTTTTTTGGGGTCCCGAGTAGTACGGAGTATCTCAGACAATCATATCCAATAACAATTAACATGCAAATCCCTCAGCACCGATGGGGTAAGACTTGATCGCCGGCTCTCGGCAATCATCTCTCGCTGGGCCCTGAAGATCAAGTTAATATTGTTATATGGATAATTCCCAATATAGCATTCTATACGGAGTATATGCTCTGATACTACAAGTAGTCTGTATACATATTGTATAATCTCAAATTAAATTCACTTTAACGATGCATACCCACCTGCCTATTAAGGTACAACTGCTTCGGGTCGACCCTCCTGAAAACGCCACAAATATAATAATATTATTATTAATAAATGTTAAGAGTATTGAGGAGTTATCAATGCACCTTGTGTCTCTGTAGGTCTGAATGAATATATATATATATATATATATCTCTATCTATCTATAGCTGCCCAGGTGTTCCAATATTCCAACTAAAGCAATTTACCTATTAATTGCATCTACATAATTCCGTTCTCACATCTCGACAATGCAATCACATTCGTCTCGAGGATGATCATCGTCGGCCGTCTGACATGCAGCTGGAGGGGCCAACCCACATCCAATCAGAATATGGTATTGGACCAGAAAGCGGTTGCCCCGTACTTCGCTGGACCCTGTACTTTCGCTATTAACGCCCCACTGGAAACGGCAATACTAATAATCTGCAATCTGCAATGTTATCATGCATGTAATATTTTGTGAGGATTTGGATAAGTACCTCGGTAGCCTTGAAGTTGAGCTGGTTGTTCTCGGACCCGGCGATGTCCGTAGATCTGCTACAAATTAAAGTTCATCATTCATATAAATTTGTACGGAGTAGAAGTATAAGTATGTTGGAGTTAGTTCTTTATATACGGTACATGTGCACTTTATTTCTTCGTAACCTTGGAAATCCCTCTAGATTTCATAAAATACAAACAAAATCCGTTGTGGAAGGAGATACAGCCTGGTCCAGGGGGTTGTCAGACAGTAAGAGAATGGTCTACGGGTAGATTGAGTGGCGAGGGAGTAAAAGAGAAGCTTCCTCTTTTTCGCATGTGAATCAAAAGAGTCTGTGCATTTACCCGATTTGATTATCTCTTTCACTTTTTTTTTCCTTTTTTTTTCCCTTTTCAAATTCTTCTTCCGGCGCGTTTCTTGATGCAGCCTACAAATTATACCAAGGTTCTGACCACGGGAGCCACCCACGGTTGGACATGGCGCCAGTTCCAAGGTTTCAAGGTTCCAAAGGGAACATTGAACCTTTGGAAGCTTCCCGAGGTCCAGCCCTGGAGACATCGCTTTCAACGCCGGATCTAGCCTTTGGGTTTGGAAGATCCCGAAAAGCTTCATATATATCGAGTAGTATATAGTATATATTCTAGGTAGTACATCCACTCAGCATGTACCTGCAACATTCCTGGGATCGTAGATCAAGAATGTAGACCTCCCAGTTTAGCTGCCAAAATAAAAAAATAAAAAATAAAAAAAGAAGCTCCGCTTGTACAACTGAGGGATTTTTAACGCAAACAGAAAACTAAATTGGTTCGAAACTCTGAACCAATAAACTTATTGGCCCGGGTCAAAGTTAGGCCCCGAGGCCCGAGAAGCCCGTTTGGGGGTTCGATTCTTTGATTCTACAACATATATAGAAAACACGGTGAAACGAGAGAATAGTCTTCTTTATATACTAACTCCTTCCACATTTCCGAAATAAGACGAAATACTCCATAACACAATCCCTTTTCATTTTTCTCTTTTCGACCGAAAAAAGCGGCTTGGCTTTTGCCCTCCGGCGCCAGAGCGGAGCTCCGTTCTACAGGGAATTCCCACAGTTCCCACAATTCCCCCATAAAACCCTGAAGTTAAGATGTGCATTGTCCGTAATAAATCTAGTCTAGCCTTCGTGATCCAACGGACCTCCGGTCCAGTAAGATCTCGGCTTTAATTGTGGTGCCTTCTGGAAGTTAAAAAGGGAATTACCTAGGTACGGAGAATGGAATTAATATCAATTCCTCCAGGCTTAATTAATCTTGGAACTTGCGATTACTCCGTACCAAGTATACATAACGGGGGGCTTGTCTTTTCGATGTACGTGTGTAGATGTATTTTGACACCCTGGGCTATGTATAGATCTATAGACCTATTTATTGGCTGAATGTTGCAACTAGAGCAAATCTGGCGTATCTAGCGTTGCTATTACCACTATATATTTAGTTATTCAATTTAATCAACATTACTTTAGAAACAAACGATAGTTAGATAAAGGGTGCTTACCATTGCGCCAGCCAAGCTTCCAGGTTCACTATTTGGAAACCACCACATTTGATGAAATGAGCCAATTCCCACTACCCAAATCTCCATGTTCGTCCATTCGCTTCTATGAAGTTTAAGATCAGTAGGAGGCATTTGCACAGCCAGAAGGCTTCAGAATGAAGTCGATGGTTATGCTTCAATTTACAGTACACGGTATGGAGGTACATGTAAACAGCGTTCTATAATATGTGTATCTCTGATAGTAAGGAGCCCGGCGACCAATAAAAGTATTGATTTATAGGACTTTCTGTCCTACCCCAAAGACTCAAAAGACTCAAATAATAGAAAATACCTTGTGTGGGAAAAGAAACTCGGAAGCAACCCGTTACTGGATCGCGTGAAACAAAAGAAAATGGGCCAGATCCAATTGAGTATATATAAAAAAGAAAAAGAAAGATATATAGAGAAAAGATAAAATAAATGCCAAACCCAATGCGATATGGATATCATAAGACGCGAAGAAACCAGAACCGAAAATAGTAGAAAGGAAATGGAAAAGCTGAGAGTCGAATCAAGTCTGATATCTTCTACTACGCATGCATCATCGTCCATGTAGCTGCGTCACAGTTCACTTCCTCGAAGCTGTGTAGCATAGTGAAGCCCATCGTGGAGAGATGGTCGAAGTTGCCGTCGCCGTCGACCTATGTTTGGTTAGAGAAATAATTGTAGAAAAGGAACAAGCGAACATACACAATCCATAACCACAGCATCGGCACTTAACTTCCGGATCTGCTTGATAGCTAGCAGGATAAGGCCCTGCATAACCGCAGAGTAATCTTCACCGCAAGGGGAAATGACCGGAGATGAAATGCCTCCGACAGAAGCCTGCGTGGCGCGCAGCACGGGCATGTGCTCTGCCAAGGCAGATCGCTCATTGTAAATCACGACACTCCCGAGTATGACCCCGTCGGAGGGCCGCTTGGCCCGAATGATCCCACAATCAGGCGCACCGCCCAGAGCCATGCGGTATATGTCGGCCACGCCTTGCCGCGCATATGTTCTAATGTGATCGAGGATCGCCGGCGCAAAATCCCAGCCATACACGAGGTCGTATGAGACCTCGGCACTCTGCAGCGTCGCAGTGAGACCTTCGGGCGGCACCCATGTCGACAGGTTGCGCAGGATCACGCTGCACACTGGTCGGGAAAGCGCGGTGTTCCACCCCATATTCGCGAACCATTGCCGCAGCCGCTTACGCTCAACAGGGTTGACGGTCGGGATGCCAAGGTAGATCCCTGGTAATCGGGATCCTAACTGGAAGCGTCTCATCCCGCTCCGCTGAAGTAGAGTCCGAATCGCGCGGCTGTGGAGTGAATGTCCGATTGATAGTTTCCTTCGAGAAGGGTCCACGATCAGACAGGCAAGCACGCCGGTGCCTGTTGATCGAAAGAAGTAGGTCGCGCAGAACCCATAGAGGGCATGTGTGCCACTGTTCCGGACAACAAAATGGGCTTCGTCGATATCCTCCTTTCGTAGCAAGAAGCTGCTACTGGTAGCTCCAAGAAGTTCCGACGGCTGGCCCGGTGCACAGTCGGCACGGACGGTATCGAGCAGAGCATCCAAGGCGAAAGAGTCGCGATCCTCGTTCCAATTTTCGACAAGCCAGTGCTGTCGAGACTGGTGGATCTTCTGCGTTCGACCAATGGAGCCGGGAAGGGCCGCTGAGGGTGTCAAGTCGCCATACAAGACCTTGACCAATGCTTGGAGGGCTGTTTCGGTGAAGTCATACGTGCATATATAAGTACCAATTGAGGAATCCATGGCAAAATCATATGGCGAGCTAACTGCCACCACAATTAATGGCCTCTCGCGGCGTTCACCAGATGAGTTATACTGTGATTGACAGACCATGGAGACATGTTTCGAGAACCCTTGCTGATATAGATTGCGATTTGCATCTGCCGTGACAACGACTACAGCACTCGCTCTTTGAATGAGGTCTTCGTGGATGGGACGCACACCATTGGAAGTGTAGGAGGTGTGCAGCACGCGCCCGTTCCTCTGCCGGGACAGTGATCGTCCAAGTTCTTTGAAGACACCCTCTCCACTCAGAACCGACGAGGTTCGTTCCGAAGATAATGGATCCAGTGACCCATGCGCAGACTCTGCGACCGAAAGAGAAACTGCTGATGTTGGGAGTGGCTTGACTAGCGGAGTCAGAAGCAAAAGTTCTTCGTCTGCCTCGATGACATTAGACAACGGAAGTAAATTATTCTTATCTCTTATCACTGTGATGGAAGAATTGTAGGCTCGGGTGGAAAGGTTGGTATGCGAGGGTTGCATCTGTGTAAGTGAAGAAAGCCCCGGAGGGTTCAGTGCCTGTTCCCACGAAGTACACCGTGCCTTCAAATCCAAAACGCGGCGCAACGATTGTTCAATTCGCTGACGGCCGATGATACCGTTCTCCACGCCGAGTTTCAAGCCGTTGATAGCTTCTTGTTGGACCGGGAATGAACGGCATAAAAGGATGACATCGCAGCCGGCGTTCTTCGCCATTACCGTGCCACCTCCTACTCCAATGTTATGTGTGAGCGCCTCCATCTCCAAGCATTCGGAAACGACCACCCCTTGAAATTGGAGATCTTTTCTCAACAGCTCATCAACCACCTGATCACTCAGACAGGCGTGCATCACGTTCATGCCAGCTGATGATAATGAGACACCTCCCACCATCATGGCATCTAGGCCCTGAATTATAGCGTTGCGAAAGGGTACAAGTGCGCTGAGACTGAGTTGTTCCAGGGATTCCGTAATAATTGGGACATCCGTCTGGGAACCGAGAAATTCCAAGTTACCATAAGATGGGAAGTGTTTCCCACAGGTCACTAAACCTGCTTCTTGATACCCCTTCATGAACTGGACTCCATATCGAGATGCCTCTTGGGGATCATCGCCGGCGGTACGAACGCCTAATGGTTGGTTTCGCACATTGGTCAAAACATCCAAAACGGGCCCTAAGATCCAATTGACCCCAACGGCCTTGAGTTCCTGTGCTGTCGCGACAGCCACCTCGTGGGCTAAAGATTTGGATCCAGTGGCTGCAATGCCCATGGTACTAGGAAATTGGCGAATATATATTTCATCGTATAAACTGTTGACACCACCATTCTCCTGGTCCATGGCAATTAGTAACGGAACGGGATGGCCTGCATCACGCGCAATGGTCTGTAATTCCAAGACCAATCTGGTTGCATCCTCGGCCGCTATAAATGCGTCAGTGACTGTCCAAGATGCTCGTGATGAAGGGCCATTTTAAAAGATACATTTCAGATTTTTTGCAGATAGCAGCACCGCACCCAAGTGGTAATTCTCAATAAGTGATCGAATCTGTGGGTTGACCGAAGTTCCATCAAAGCCCATCATAAAGAGCTGACCCATCTGCCTATGTCATGTCAGCGTACCCGAGGTGTCATATTTCCTAAAATGGAAATAGTCTAAATAACCCTCATCCCCAGATTGACAGTTAGGTTCCACAGTGAAGGGAGATAGCCCGACAGGCAGATTTTTGGGGGGGGGGGGAGGCGAGGATTAACGCCGATAGGGGATGAGTCAAGCGAAACAAGAGATTGACCTACCTATCAGGTCCTCCCAGCCCGGGGGCAGCATATCCTCTTTCCGGGCCATCGCCCGAGGAGGAATGCCTGCAGCGGCCCAGAGAGGTAGGATGCGGAGGGTGAAATGTCGGGAGATCTAAGGTGTGGACACCGCAAACGTCTGACAAGTAAGGAATATGAAGCCAGTGCACGCGTAGTCAGGTGACAGGGGGGGGGTTAAAGGGTTGCAGGAGTCAAAAAATCGGACCTCGGGAGCTTTGTCTTTCTGCCCCAGAGCCGCAAATGTCGGGGAAGAATTGGGACTAGAGAGATAAGGAGATAGGGGAGGAGACTCCGCTGTTAGGGTCACGGGATCTTGGCATATTCTACATTTTATGTACATAGTTATATGTAGTTATGTAGTTATGTATCATTAATTCAGAAAATAAATAAGTACATAATCTCCGCACACAATGTATACTGTTTCTATAAGATACATCTACATCGGAGATTATTGAGAAGATCATAATATATATGTATCCATGGACACCCAAAATGGACTGTCACGTGATCTGTATGTAACTGTAATCCGGATCGAATTCTCAGTCACGTGCCCCATCAATACCAATACCATACCCGGCTACGACGTTACAAGCTACAACGTCCAGGGTTGCACTGGGCCATATGTTCTCCAGCTTTTTACCGACATCACCGGATGCAACTCCTACACTTCTCAAATGGAACCTTCAGACCACCATGTGTATGATGGAGCTCCATAAATCCAATCAGAATGCCTGTTTCCTTTTTTTTTTCCGTCATCGCACTCTTGGCTTAAATTGTTTGGCCACATGGAATACATCCGAGTGGACCTTGAGACCTTGATAGAAACCGTGGAATTGCCCAAATGAAGTCAATGGCTATCTCAGTGGACTCTTCTTTGTCCAAGATGCAGTAACCCGTAGACGTCAATCCGGACAGACCCCCTAAAGGCCCCAGTCATAGAGGGGGAGGCAACCATCTAGCACGTGTCTATCTATACGACGTTCTTTTTTTGTCACTGTCGTACACTCCACCAAGACTGTAACCCATATGGTCCCTTGTACCTTATCGAATGTTCTCTTTTCTTTTAGATATCAGCTTTCTTCTTCCCTTTCTTATTTTCCCATACTTCTTGGCCCTGTCTCCAACTTCCAAAGACTCGTGACGTAATTATGTGCGTGACAATCTTCTATATCTTCTATATATCGCATTCTGGCATACTAATCTATTGGCTTCTCAATATAGGCGTGTCATTATCAGAGAAGATCCTCGTGAGGTGTCTGTGTATATTGCAGACTACATTATCAGTAAGCTGAAACACACATCCTCGATGCGCTGATGCGCAAATATGGAGACTAACTCTTCCCTCTTAGGCCGTATCAAGTCGTTCAATCCGACCACTGAGCAGCCGTTCGTGCTTGGTTTGCCTACTGGTAGTAGCCCTGAGCTCATTTACAAGATCCTCGTGCAGCGTCATCGCGCCGGCGAGATATCCTTCAAGAATGTCGTGACTTTCAACATGGTATGCGCGACAACAGTCACGGAGTAAAACAGCCCACTAACTCCCAATACAGGATGAATATGTCGGTCTGCCTCGCGATCACCCCGAGTCCTACCACAGCTTCATGTACAAGCACTTCTTTTCCCACGTGGACATCCTACCGCAGAACATTAACATCCTGGACGGCACCGCGACTGATCCTGTAGCCGAGTGTGCATCGTTCGAAGCACGGATCGCCCGCTACGGTGGCATCGAGCTCTTCCTGGGTGGAGTCGGACCAGATGGCCATATTGCCTTCAACGAGCCAGGCTCCTCACTGAACAGCCGCACACGCGTCAAGACACTGGCCTACGACACCATCCTGGCAAACTCCCGTTTCTTTGGTGGCGATACGGACAAGGTGCCCCGCATGGCTATGACTGTTGGTATTCAGACTATCATGGATTCCCGTGAAGTGGTGATTGTAGCCACCGGAGCGCACAAAGCGTTTGCCGTGCAGAAGGGCCTCGAGGATGGCGTGAACCACATGTGGACCCTCTCCGCTCTGCAGCTGCACCAACACCCGCTCATCGTCTGCGATCGCGACGCCACTCTCGAGCTCAAGGTCAAGACCGTACGGTACTTCGAATCAATCGAGCAGGCCGGCACCGATGCCCGCACTCAGGGACCGGCTCTCGTTTATCGTCCTCGGACTTACGTCCCGGCCCCACTACCAGCTAGAACGCCCAAGTCCCAGCAGCCTACTCCCGATGGCACTCCCGAGAAGGTGCCAAAGGATCTCCGTATCAACACTGAGCTGCAACGCCGCGCACTGGAGGAAGAGGAGCTCACTCCAGATAGCATGTCCTCGCGTCTGGTCGACTCAGCCATTGGCGGTATCGACGGTGCGCTGAAGAGCGACCTTATCTTTGATCGCATGGGCACCAGAATGACCACACTCTGATGGTAAATACCTTCGAATTTGTGGCATTTTCATTCAGCGGTTTTTCTTTTCGGTTTAATTTTTCTTTTTTTCTCTTTTCTTTTGTTTCCTATTTCTTTTTTTCTTTTCTTTTCTTTTTTTTTTTTAGGGGGAGAACGGAAATATGGGTTTCTGTCTTTTACTGCTTTGGCTTACAGGATCCATGGGTGTTATTCTAAGGAGTTTCGCTGGTCATTTCAATTATTCCTGGCTCGATAGACGCGTTTTCTAGGGGTCAAGTGATAAGTGATATCAAAGATTTTAGCTATGGATAATTCAAGCTGTGTACAATTAATCTAAATCTCCATATTTATACGTGTGTACATATGTATGTAGCGTGAAGTCGTTTGAGGTCAGTATATATGCCTTATCGGTGCCTTTGTGGACTTTCAGCACAGAAATATCAGAAATATATACGAATGCCTCAGTAGCAGAATGAAGATACAGAAAGAGCCTAGACTAATTAACTGCGGCGCTCGAATTGTTCTATATTCTGTACATTTTATGCACCTTGCTTTTGTGTCGTACATTGCATGACATATTAACATTATAGCTTGGCGAAGACACTGACGACGGCACCGCTCATATCAACCAGAGTGCTCTTGTTCTGCAGCCAAGCCTCAATACCGCGACGACCATTCTCCACGCCCAGACCGCTCTTCTTCCAGCCACCGACAGTCATCTCAGCAGGGCTCTCGCCCCACGTGTTCACCCAGGTAATACCAGCCTGCAGCTGGTCAATGACGCGGTGAGCCAGGTTCAAATCCTTAGTGAAGACACCAGCAGCAAGACCGAGCTCAGTAGTGTTGGCGCGTCGCACAGCCTCCTCGACGGTGTCATAGTACAGGATGGACATAACGGGACCGAAGATCTCCTCTTTAACGATTCTCATGGAGTCAGTGCAGTCGGTGAAGACGGTCGGCTGAACCCAGAAACCGGCTTGCAGATCCCTGGGCATCGTAGGCTTCTCGACACCACCACAGAGCAAGGTGGCGCGGTCAGACTCTATACCGTGGCGAATGTATGCGACAACCCTGTCGTAGTGAACTTTGGAGCTGAGGGGACCGAAGTTGGTCTGCTCGTCAAAGAGCGGGCCAGCCCGCACATATTGGATCTTCTCGAGCAGACTCTTCTCGAAAGCAGCCTTCATGGTACGCGGGACAAAGACCCGGGTGCCGTTGGTGCAGACCTGACCTGTGCTGTAGAAGTTGGCCATCATGGCGCCATCAACGGCGCTCTCTAGCTCAGCGTCCGGGCAGACAATCAAGGGGCTCTTGCCACCCAGCTCCATTGTCACATATTTCATGTTTCCTGAGGCAGCGCCTGCGACCTTCATACCGGTTGCCACTTGGCCGGTGAAGGAGACCTTGGCGATGAGTGGGTGGCCAGTCAAGTAGGCACCGACATCACCGGCACCGTTGATCACGTTGAAGACACCATCGGGGAGGCCGGCCTCGGTGTAGATTTCTGCGAGGGTCTGACCATGAAGCGGGGTGTATTCACTGGGTTTATAGACCATTGTGTTACCGGCGGCCAAACAGGCAGCGGATTTCCAAAGGGCACTGAAAATATCCAAGTCAGCTTCTTTTCTTCTCCGGTGCTGCAAGAGCAGGATCGAAGAACTTACATCTGGATGGGGTAGTTCCAAGCACCAATGCCGGCACACACACCCAGAGGGGACTTCTTAGTGTATACCCAGGCATCCTCGCGGAGTTGAGTAGTCTCGCCATTGAGACCACCACCACCAATGAAGTTGGCATAGTACTCCAAAACATCGGCGCCAGTCGTGACGTCGACGGTGCTAGTCTCAGTAAAGGCCTTGCCGGAGTCCAAAGTCTCGACGCGTGCAATTTCATCGTTCCGCTCCCTTAGCAGGGCAGCGGCCTTGTGAAGAATCCGAGCGCGAGCAATCAGCGGGGTCTGCGCCCAAGCAGGGAATGCGCGATCGGCAGAAGTAATGGCGGCATCGACGTCCGCGTTGGAGGCAATTTGGATGTCGGCCAACGGAGTTGCAGTGGCGGGGTTGATAGTCTGGAATGACTTGCCGGAGGTTGCGGCTTGGGCCTTGCCATTGTAATAGAGCTGACGAGGTGGGAAGGAGAGCGACATGATTGATTTGTGTATATGAATAAGGAACCTTGGAAGGTCATACAACATATAATAGAATACGAAGATAAGAGAAATGATAACTAACTACAATAGGTAGACCTCGGGAAGGAATAACCTACACCGCCTTATAGTTTCTCCGAAGTAAAAGCCAAAAGAGTGGGGGCATATATACAATCTTGGAATTCGCTAGTCCGATTACGGTGTAGTGTACTCGGTACTCGGCCGCCTAGCATAATCAGTACGTAACAGTCAAGTACTAAGTACGCCATCCGGTCAGCGGCTGAAGGTGGCTGAAAAACCTTGGGGATTGTTTTGCGGGTTATCTTTAACCAGATTCGTCTTGAACTTCTTCTATGGCTTGAAAGTCGGGAGATTCATACTAAGAAAGGCATTTCTTAGCGGAACAGGTGAAAAAGTAACGTACGCTCTAGCATCGGAAGGGAATTCCTATCATGGACACACCTCCTCTTTTCTCCAATTTACGGATATCAACGGACACACACATTGAATATACCTACTATGCCGATGAAGAGCTGATACTCGGCCGTTAAGAGTCGGTGGACATCATATTATCTCAACCATCTCCGACACTTTCTCTCCACTTTTTAGTGATCGCCACCACTCAGAGGCCAAAGATTCGCCGAGTCTAACTGGAAAAAGTAAAAAGAAAAAAAGAAAAAGAAAAAAAAGAAAGAAAAAAGAAAAAGAAGGGAAAGCTGGGCAATCACCCCCAAAAAGATTGGATCCATGGCCTTTCTCCGATCGTACCCCCCCCCCCGAATAGACTTCTTGAAAATTCTCTTTTAAGAGGGTCCCTTCTTCTCCAATCTTCCCCTCAGTCTATTCCTCCTATTCCACCCCCCGGTATTCAACATGGCCACCACTAACGAGTTCCCCGCCATCGATGTTAACAGCTATGACTACATTGTTGTTGGCGGCGGTACTGCCGGTTGTGTGATCGCCGCACGCCTGGCCGAGTACCTCCCTAACAAGCGCACTCTCGTTATTGAGGGAGGTCCCAGTGATTTCATGGATGACCGCGTTCTGAATCTGAAGGAATGGCTCAGTCTGCTCGGAGGCGAGCTTGACTACGACTACGGTACCACCGAGCAACCCATGGGTATGACACTGTTTTTCTATGCTAAGTGAGCAAACGAACTTGTGCTGACTATCCTCATAGGTAACAGTAATATCCGCCACTCCCGTGCAAAGGTCCTCGGTGGTTGCTCCAGCCACAACACTCTCATCTCCTTCCGTCCCTTCGAGTATGATTGCCGTCAATGGGTTTCCAAGGGTTGCAAGGGCTGGGACTTTGAGACCTTCACCCGAATCATTGATAACCTGCGTAACACTATCCAGCCGGTCCATGCCCGCCACCGCAACCAGCTGTGCAAGGATTGGATCCAGGCCTGCTCTAGCGCCATGAACATTCCTGTCATTGAGAACTTCAATGATGATATCCGCAAGACCGGTGAATTGACTGAGGGTGTTGGCTTCTTCAACATCTCCTACAACCCCGATGATGGCCGTCGCAGCAGTGCCAGTGTTGCCTACATCCACCCCATTCTCCGCGGTGACGAGAAGCGTCCCAACTTGACCATTCTCACCAACGCTTGGGTTAACAAGGTTAACGTTGCGGGTGATACCGTGACCGGCGTTGATGTTACTCTACAGTCTGGTGTTAAGCACACTCTACGTGCCAAGAAGGAGACTATTCTGTGTGCCGGAGCTGTCGACACCCCTCGCCTGATGATGCTCTCTGGTCTTG